CGGTGCGTCTTGCGGGGCGCGGGAGGCAAGCGCGTCCGGACCGGCTCGGAGGGGCTCGGGCGAGATGGCAGCGCTGAATGGGACCCTAGAGAACGGGCCGACGGAGAAGAAGGCTCCCGTGCCCCTACCTCGTCCGATTAGGAACCTGGAGATCCAGTACACCAAGGTAAGGGTGTGGGGTCGACAGGTTCACACGACTCGCTCCACCGGCTCAGTCGCAGTGGCGAAACCGGCTTGTAGGGTGGGAGCCTTGATTAGATGCCCGGGACCGCGGGCTGCGTGAGCCCACCCCGTCGTGAATGGTTCCAATGCAGAAAACAGGTTAATTCAGCAAGCAGGCGAAGCGTGCTGTGTGACTGCCGGCTGGGTACACGTGTGTGGGCTTTTCCTTCTAGGTTAGTGCCGCTCAACGATCCTTTAACTAAAACAGAGGGTTCTGTGTTTTTTTTAAATAGCGTTTCGAGCGTTGAGAAAGTTTTTGTTTGGGTTAAGTTTGTTTTGTGCATCCTTTTCTCTAAACACTTTCCAAATGTTTCTAAAGGGAAAGTAGGAGAGGGAATTTATTCAACTGCTCCAGCTGCCTTTTTGGGAGGAGGAGAACTTGAGGGTAATTATCCCCAAGGCACCACAAATAGCCAAGCCCTACCTATTTTTCATGCAAGGCAAAGAAACGAATTGATTAAAAGAGAATGTCAGAAATCGTTTCAGAAAAAGTTGCGATTTCCTCTCATTTACACCACTGAGGATGCAGTGGAGGGTCCAAAACGTATTATATAAAAAAGTAATTTAATAGTAAAAATGTTTAGCTTGCATCATGTTTCATATCTGGAAGGGTCTTATTTCTATGGATATGAAATATGCTTTAAAAACACACACTGTAAACCTTACCTTTCCCTAGTTCACTGTGGGTAATAGTACCTGCCTTACAACTGTATTTGTTTTATATCAGGACAAACTGAGGTTGGGAGCCTGGGTGATTTGAGCATTAAACCCTTCGAAAAACCGTAATGTTAAAAGAGAGTCATACTTGCCAAATAACATTAGCTGAACCAAGTTAAAAGCCTGCAGACAACTAAAACATGTCACAGTATCAGAGATAGAGTTGGTTTTAAAGAGGAGAATTCTTAACGGCCAACTTGGCTGATTTGTGGAAGCGCCAGAAGAGGAGGCTTCGCGGATTTCTCAGGGCAAGGTTTTGCCGCCCTGAAACCACGAGGGAAATCTGAAATCTGAAGCATGGTTTCGTTGGGATCCCTCAGCCCTGGAGTGGGGATTTCCCAAGACTTGGTCCTTGGAGTTCAAAGCACCTGTCTGCTGAGCTGTGCGGGTTCTCCTTCCATAAATTCTGGGAATAGTATCAAGGTTGCGCTGCTCTTTTATAGATATTTATATAGATCATCAAAGGCTTTTGCATGCTTCCAGAACCCAAAGTGAAACGTTCATGTGATCCAGGTAGCTGAGAGGTTGTGAAGGAGGCGAGCATTTTCATTAGGCCTCCGATTATCGATGATGTAGTGATGTTGGGGCTGAGAATAAAGTGACTTCTTTAACAGAACTGAACAACTCAGGAGACATTTCAGCTGCTGGGGGAGGGGAGGGGGGGGTCCCAGGATTTGCAGGGATATGACCTGACTTGGACAGCCCCAAATGCAATTTTTTAAAAACCTTTGCACGACAATGCTCCTGTACATGGGTGTGTGAGAAGAGGGAGTCAAAAAGAATCATAAAATGCATAATATTGTTTGCTAGAAACGAGAAGAAATCATTGGTGAGCGTGCTGATTGCACTTTTTCTGAATAGCTTTCTTGGAGATTGCATCCTGAAGCCCATGGGATGAGGGAAAATGGTTTATTCCTATCACAGTTCTTCAAGAATAGCTGGGACTTCACTGTTTTGGGTAATACGCACACAGCTGTCCTGTGCTTCTTAAAACAACAACAACAATGTTTTAAGACTGCTGACAACGAGTCTGTGATGGATGTTTGTACCTTCTGAGATATTCCGCCATCTTGGCTGTTTTAACCAAAAACACATTGGTCATTTAGATTCACCGCTGGGCTTTCTCTCCCACATCTCTTCTAAAACTTGGACAATTTTAAAAAGTGTATTAGTTGAGATTGCTCCACTTTATCTGGCAGGTTTCAGTCTTTCTAATTTCATGTAACTTTTTTTTTTTTGGAAGATAGGAAGTCAGGGATGTGTTTGAAATCCAACACTAATATTCAGAAGATGAGGTCTGCTCTTCTTCCTTCCCGTTGAGACATGATCTGAAGTATGAAAACAGAAGCCTTAAAATAAAGCTAGCCTAACTGTGTTACGTTTATGTTCACTGCCTGGAGTTGCAACTGGCAAAATGGGTGGTTATATAAATCAATGTAATGAATAAACAGAGAAACAAGCAAAGTAAAAATATGCAAGAAAGAAATGGAGAGGTCAGTTATTGGCCCAACTGGAATATGATATGATATGGTATGGTATAATATAATATAATATAAATCACATTTGTGTAAATGCATTTTCTTTCTATTTATTGAGGCAGATTCTTATATTCTTCCTTTCTATTTAAAATATGCTTAAGGGATCTCTAGTTTTGACTGTGAAATCAGATTTACTGGTTTATTTATACAATCTTGCCATCTGATCCCCATGACTCTGGACAGCTAAAAATAATAATAATAATAAAGACTAATATAATATATATATAAATCGAACTATATAAACCAAAATCTCAACCATCAGATGTGCGTGCATGTCCCCATCTATTTGGAAATGATGAAAATACATCAAAAGATGGCATTTTTTTAAAGGTTTGTGTGCATCTTTTTTTTTTTTAAATAACTTTATTAGGATTTTAAACAAGAAAGATAAAAACTAACAAACGAATATTTAGAATAAAGAAAGGAAAGAAGTCAAGAAAGGAGGAAAGGCCAAAGTGCAGAAAAGAAGAAAAGAAAAATAATTTCTGATTTACTTTTACAGAAGTTATAAGTATAAATGTAAATTAACCTCTTACTCTATGGTTACAGTATGATTTTCACTTTTCCTATAATCTATTGTTTTTTCTAATCATCAACACCATATATCAAAAGTTCATTTTTTTTCTGTTTCATGCAAAAAGTCTATAAGACGTTTCCAGCCAGCATTAAATTAGTTCATGTCTTTTCTCTGATCAAAGATGTCAGTTTGGCCATTTCAGCAAGTTCCATCATCTTCACTATCCATTCCTCCATTGTAGCTAATGTCAAGTCTTTCCACCTTTGTGCATATAATAATCTTGCTGCAGTTATATATAAAAACAAAGTTCCATGACTTTTTTCCAACTGTTTATTGATCAATTCCAAAAGAAACACCTCTGGTTTCAATTGTATATTAATTTTTAAGATCTTTTGAATTAGTATATGTAATTGAATCCATTTTTTTTTAGCTTTTTTACATGTCCATCAAGCATGGTAAAACGTTCCTTCTTGTTGTTCTCATTCCCAACATAAATTCAAAGTACTTTTATACATTCTAGAAAGTTCCATGACTTTTTTCCAACTGTTTATTGATCAATTCCAAAAGAAACCCCTCTGGTTTCAATTGTATATTAATTTTTAAGATCTTTTGAATTAGTATATGTAATTGCATCCATTTTTTTTTTAGCTTTTTTACATGTCCACCAAGCATGGTAAAACGTTCCTTCTTGTTGTTCTCATTCCCAACATAAATTCAAAGTACTTTTATACATTCTAGATAATTTTTCCGGTGTCATATACCAATCGTACATCATTTTATAAAAATTCTCTTTATGATTATAACATAATGTAAATTTCAGTCCTTTCATCCACATATTCTCCCACTGTTCCATTTTCATAAGGTTCGTGTGCATCTTTTAACTAGGATTTCCTTTAACGATCACATTAAGCAAGCGACAATGTAACAAGCTTTCTTGATTTTAGGTCTCCAGAGCATAGGCGTCTGTTCTTAATCACAAAGACGCCAAAATGACAAAACAGGTATTGTGATGTTGTAATGCTATGCCCTTTCATATTTGCATTGTGATGTTGTGGTTCACATTTTGTCACTTCCCTCCTTGACTCCCTCACTTCCCTCCTTGACACATGGATGCACATTTATAATTATATAGAAATGTAGAATTTAAAAAAAAAATTAAATATGGAGTTTTGCAACAGAAACCATTATCCATAATTCTTCAGTTTCCACCAGCAAAATAACCTTAAGCTTACTAACGTCTTGTAGAGACATACTGCCTTGCAGGCTTGGGAAAAAATGGTGATGTTAATAAATGTTAATATAAATCTATTCAATTGGATTGGAGTTCAGCATTGTTAGTTGTAGCTGCAGAGATTCTAACCATGAGAAAGAGAAACTAATTTTTCTCAGACTGAAAGTACTCTGCCACATTCCAAAATGGAAGGAAAAAGTCATTTTGAGATTAAATTTTATCAGATTTGGCTAGCTCAGCTGCTGTGTTTATGGTTTTCAGGCCCTTATGATTCCTGAATTGTTTCTGCTGATTGTCAGCACATCATCGGCTAAGATGGCTTGATTAAGTGTGCTTAGAGTGATGCTGTTAGCATTTCATTAGAGCTAGTGATTCTCACTTTTGAATCCATGCATTACTTTACTTTCACTAGAATCTTTAAAATGCTATTAATTTCAAAATATAGTAGTAATTTGAAAATAAGGCAGACGTGGCATCTCTCCTTACACACACACACACACACAGAGTTCATTAACCTGGCAATAATGAGAAAAGGAACTTATCTGATCCAAAGAAAGAAGGGAGGTTGGGGATTTATATCCTTCCCACTAAGTGAACTTAGTTAGACTCTTGACTCTTGGCACAACCAACAATTTATGAATTGGAAGAGTGTGGAGTAGGAAACCAAAGTCTGGTTTTGTGACATTATTTCCCTCGTAATCATCATGGAGAAAATCTATGTGGTTGCTAGGAGCTGAAAATGACTTGATGGCACATAATTAAAAATATATATATATATATTGGGGAAGCCTGGAGATGCTGTAGCTTAGATGGTTGAAAATCAGAATCTCTTTTAGTTGAATTGATGTGATGTGAGGTCAAAACCAAATACTTAGGCAGATCTTTTGAATTTTCTTTCATCACAAGTCTCTGTAATTCCCTTCATTGTGGATATCGTCACA